ATCCAGTTTTTGCCGTAACCCTCTCTACTTTTTTGAACAATCTATGTGGGTGAAATGATGATACCATGCCAAGTTTCAACTTTTTCAGAGTTCATTTGTAGTGCTTTTCAATTTCCAGGTCATTTAGTTCTCAAAACAAATCATTGAATGCATGAAAAATAGCAAATGAAGGCAGAAATGGTTGAAAGTTGATGGCGTCGCTTTGAATGGTGCATACTGAATGCACAAAAAGTCTGGAGTTGTAATAAGTTTTAAAAAAATGAAATGCCTTTGTAACAGATGAGTTTAATTTCGTCAGAAACCTGAATACTTCGAAAGAGATTGTCCAGTTTGTAAACGAAGTACATCCAGTTTTTACCGTAACCCTCTCTACTTTGTTGAACAATCTATGTGGGTGAAATGATGATACCATGCCAAGTTTCAACTTTTTCAGAGTTCATTTGTAGTGCTTTTCAATTTCCAGGTCATTTAGTTCTCAAAACAAATCATTGAATGCATGAAAAATAGCAAATGAAGGCAGAAATGGTTGAAAGTTGATGGCGTCGCTTTGAATGGTGCATACTGAACGCAAAAAATATAAGAGCATTTACATCACGATCTTATATTTCTTTAGAGTCTAAACTGTCAATATGATCTTATAACACATCAAAAATACTTTGATCATCAATGATCTTTGTGTGTACAATCTGAATTGTCAATATAAGTCATCAACGATTTATAAACCGATGAAGACTCATATGGCGGCCACAAATTCTATACATAGAGTTCAATGAAGACCAAGTGCGTGTGATAGTTTGAGAAATAACATATTTAAGGTGGTAAAAGCCTTGTTAGGGGAGCGAGGTGGGACTAAAAACAGCTTGCCATAACCTCATTAGTATCGGTTTGTGGTACGAACCGGCACTAAATGGTGATGGTGGGGCCATAGTCTGACCGCAGGCTGACACATCCCCTTTAGTACCGGTTCGTGGCATGAACCGGTACTAAAGGTTCGCCACGAACCGGTGCTATTGATCGCCGCCACGAACCGATGCTATTGTACACATTAGTGCCGGCTAAAATTCAAACCGACACTATTGGGCTTCACGTTTGACCCTTTTTCTACTAGTGTGTGCTTCACGTTTGACCCTTTTTCTACTAGTGAATAAACATTTATCATGAAATAAGGAAATAAATAATAACTTTATTATTGCCTCTAGGGCATATTTCCTTCAGCGCCATGGGAGGGGAGGGATAGAGAGAGAAGGTGCCATGGTAGGGATTGTTGCTGGAGCAGAGGGGCAGCAAATGGAGAGTAAAAGGAGGGAGATATGCCACAAAGAAGAAAGGGATGCCGCCATGGCCACGAACTCGTTGCCTCCTGCGTGGATGAGGAGAAGAGAACAGAGCCTCCATTGGAGTGATGCGACCCCGTAAAAAACAGAGCGAATCGGGCGCCAAACCCAGGTAGAACATCTTCAGCAGACCCCGTAAAAGGTCGAATCCATATAATTCCGCCGGGTATACGGGTTCGGTCAATTTTTCTTGCCAGAACAGACTCTGTATCTCAGGCTCGGCTCGTAAAAAGTTTACCGTCACCCAAAAAAAGACCCTTTTCACCGCTATTGATGCAGTTTCACAGCTCGGATACGGGTCAAACCCTATCCGCCTCCGCCGTCGCTCCGCTGCGATTCCCCTCCCCCTCCGCCCCAATTTCTCTCCGCCAGCGAGCCCAAAAAATGCCCTAGCGACCCTTCCCGACCCATGGACGGCTACCGAAGTGGGGAGGGGGATGACGTGAAGCGCCGCCGCCGCACGCAAGCGGGGGGCGCGGAAGTGGCTCAACTATGGGAGCCGGCCGCCACCAGCATTCGAACGCCGCGAGCTCGACGAGTACGAGCATGAGCTCATGGTTCGCCGCCGTGCCTCCTCCGGCTCCTCTGCCACGGGGAGCTCGTTTGCGGGCGCCTCGAGCTCATGGCTCACTCCGGTCAAGAGAGAGCCGGAGGAGCTCGAGTCGCTCGTCGTCAATCTTGAGGCCGACGCGGACCCGCCGCGTCGAGGCGTCATCGGCCCCGAAGACTACCTCCCTTGGGGCAGGAGGACCACTCGAGCGCGCCATCATGGAGCACTCGGCGAGGAAGGAGGAGGAGGCCGCCGCGCGCCGCCGCCGCGAGCTCGAGATCGAGGAGATCTTCCTCGAGCACGGCGTCGCACACGCATCCAAGGAGGCGGACCTGCGCGTCATGAAGGCCAAGCAGGCCAAGGTCTGGATCAACCTCGATTCCGATGAGGACTGAGCTCCTCCGTCTCCTCCGCCGCGTTGTCGGCGCCGCACCGGTCGATTTTTGTAGCCTAGGCTCCGGTACGCTGCACGGCCGGCAGATCCCCCCCCCCATTGTAGTACTAGGATATAGTATGATGAACAACTATCTATGATGTAGTATGATGATCAACTATGTATGATAAATGTCGTTGCAAGTTTCTCTCGTGAATATATTTTTCTTCAAATTTTACAATTTCATATACGGTGTCTTATCTGCAGCGCACGAATTCGCCCCGCAAATCTAATCTGCAGCGAATTGTAAACGCGTTTTCCGGGTCGGACTTTTACCGTCTGCTAGAGATGCTCTTAGACAAAGCCAGCCCGAAAAGATCGCCCAGACTAGCGCGGATCTCCGAACAAAATAGGACGACCAAAAAAACCCGACCTGAAACCAAATTGAAAACACACGTCTGACTTTTAGTAAAAGTGATCTGGTTTTATATTAGATCAAGAAGACATCATATGCATCATTATACCATCCATAAAATAGGGTAACTAAACCCACCGACGGATGAACAAAGTGCAATTTAATATTTGAGTATTTGAAAAGTTGAATCACAGTTCTATCTAGCGACGCGCAACCAATTTAGAACAGAACCATTTTTCACTAAATTTTGAGTTTTTACTCAAATCACACAAATACAGCTTCAAATTTGTCACCACTCACAAGCACATCATCATATAGCTAATATTAACACACAGGAAAAGAAAAACGCACGCGCACACATCCAAACTGCCACTGATTCGTCTTCCCGATTAGAAACCCACGGCCATGGCGCTGACAAACACCGCAGCTCCGATCGCTGCGAGATGGGCCCCACGGCCGCCCTTGTAGGCTCCACTGTCGTAGGGGCTGTTGTCCACCAGCGGCTGGCTGCCGAACCCTGCCACTCCCGCGACACCGCCGGCCGCCGTCGCCGCTTCACCATGTCCGGCAACATCCCCGACACCACCGAAGGCTCCTGTCTCGGCGCCCGGTGCGATCCCGTAGCCGTCGCCGAAGGGCCCTGCCCCCGCGGCAACACCTCCTACCGTCGGCGCAATGCCGTAGCCATCGCCCAAGCCACCTGCCCCCGGTCCAACTCCTCCGGCGCCTCCTGCCGCCGGTGCAATGCCGTAGCCGTCGCCCAAGCCACCTGCCCCTGGGGCAACACCTCCGACTCCTCCTGCCGCCGGTGCAATGCCATAGCCGTCGCCCAAGCCACCTGCCCCTGGGGCAACACCTCCGACTCCTCCTGCCGCCGGTGCAATACCATAGCCGTCGCCCAAGCCACCTGCTCCGGCCCCTGGAACAACTCCGTCCCCGAGCTCCGCCGCCTGCGGCAGCTCGGCCGCGTGGCCGTTGCCGCCCTGCACCTGGCCGAAGGGTAGGTTGCTGCTGTGCGCGCCGATGGGCTCGGCGAAGGACGGCAGCGCGGCCGCAAGGCCCGGTGACCCCGGCGCGCCGCAGTGTTGCCCGTGGCGCGGCTCGTCGCTGGCCCGCCACGCGAGCTCGCCGTCCTTGTCGCGGACGCGCATGTCGCCGTCGTCCACGAGCTCGAGCGTCTGCAGGAAGTTGGTCCCGTCGGTGTTGGTCTCGCCGTGCCACACCTCCTCGCTACCGTCGAACACCTCCAGCCCGTGCCACGAGAAGAGCAGGGTGCACGTGTTCACCGTGCTCACCGGCCGGCACTCCGACTCCCACGCGCTCGCGCCCCCGGCAGCACCGCCCTCGGAAGCTTTGCCGCTACCGGCCATCACCTCGACGTAGCAAAAGTCGGCGCCGAGCCCTCCGGCGCCCGGCGCGGTGTGGGTGCGCACGAAGTAGGCGGCGTACTTGCCGGACGGAGACGTGAGGAACAGCACGGGCGGACCGGCGTGCCCTCCAGGCGGGATGCTCGCCAGGATCTGCTGCTTGGACACGCGCTCGATCGTGCCGATCGGCACCGTGGCCGCCGCGAGGGAGCAGGAGAGGAGTAGGAGGACGGCTATGGACGGCAGGAACTTCATGACTGGCTGGTTAGCGGCTTATGGTGTCTCTTACTTGTGTGCTTGCTGCTGCTCTGTGGTTGTCGACCTGTGTGGTTGTGCATGGTGTGGCATGATGAGCTGCGTACATATAGTTAGGGTGGCGATGGAGTAGGAGATGGCGAGTGGTTAGAGAGGACATGGATGGAGTTAGTAGTACATCACCCGTTCCAATACTAGGATGCAGAGCAGGGGAGTGGTGAGGCAGCTGGTTTTAGGTAGTTTGATGAATAGTTGGGGCACGGGCACAAGCATCTGGCTCCACTTTGTGCTGTGTCCTGCGAGTGGTTGGAGCATCTACCACGGACCACCCAACGAATAAGTGGGATGTCCGGACTGTAAAACAGCACCCAACCCAACATGGTAAATCCGGCCCAAATGACCAGACTGACTGACAACCCCATATCTAGCTCATATGTGGGGCGGATATAGGGATACACCCCCCCCCCCCGCCCCCGCGGTCTTCATCGATCTGGCGGAACCGTTTAGGTGGCGTCTCATCCCCGTGGCCTCGCCGGCTGAAACGGAGGTCATATCCGCCTCCATGGTTCGTGGCCAAAACGAGAAGGAAGCACGCGCCGCGAGGCTGGGGGCGGGCCTTGAAGCAGAAGCGGCTTCGATGGCCTGATAGACGGAGCCGGCGGAATCGCACACCGGCATGGGCAGGAAGGAGGAAGCCCTCCGTGTCTGCATAGGCGAGAAGCGGCGAATTAGGGTGGTCAAGGCGAATGCAAAAGAGCAAAGCAGGGCGGGTCGTGCCATGGCCGGATTGCCCCCGAAGGAGGAGAAGGACGAGGACAGCGACATATCGAACAGTCGAGCAGCTCCGGCAATGAGCAGATCCACCTCGTTCCATTTTGCGTCTTGAACCACTACTGCCGCAAGGAATACGACAAGGACAAGGGCGACAGTGGATGAACTTCTTCCACTGTCGTTTCTTTTGTAGTTAGTAGAGCATGTCGATTTTTTATAGTCTGATGACATATGTTTAACTACGTATATTTAACGTTGCTTGAGACTAGTATGGATTTGAGTATTTGGCTTATGGATCCGGTTGTGAAAGCGCAATTTAATGTTTGCTCGGTCACTGTCCGTGGACGCGTCCACGGATGTATGGGGGTCCAGATTAGACAACTTCTATTGTAGATGCTCTTAGTCTGTCTGGATCTGACTTCAAATGGAGTGAATGTAGTACTTTCTTTTCTTTTCCAAAAGACACAGATTTATTATAGAAGTTCGTCAAAAGTACAGAACACCCAAACATAATAAAAATTCAAGCTCCCTGAACCACCAAACGAACAACATTGTAGTCAGCACAATCACCTATGAAGTTTTCGTGCACATGCCCCTATGAACCAATGCCCTGGAGCTATAGTTAGTGTCATTGAAACCTTGAACACGATATGAAGTGTCTGACACTAAATCTCGCCATCGCGCATGTACGACACTAAACCCTAACCTCGCGCGCTCTAAGGAGATGACAAGAATCTACTCGGAGCTCCATCAAATCAATCCCGACGGACGAATTCGAGGAGGGTCAAAACCTAGAAGAACAACTCGAAGATGAAGCGCCACCATCTACCCGAGCATTGCCTCTACGTGAACTAAAATAAACTAACCTAAACTACTAGCCGAATCCGAGACGGGATTCCTCTCCCCACCACTAGCCACGGGTTGGCCGATGGAGCTATGAGGTAAGGAGAACTTTACCCTAGAGCCTACACGGTCGAGAAAAGAAAAGATGCGAGTGGATGATGTACTTAGGAGGACATCTCTAATGGCCCCTTGGTTTCAAGATACATTACTTCCTCCGTTTGGAATGCAAGGTGTATTGTTTTGAAAAAATTCAAAAAAAAATATATGTTTAATTATGTTAATAGCTAAATATATCAACATTAGTGTCAAATTAATGAAATAGGATGTTATATTTCATTATGAATCTAACTATCAAATTTTAGCATTTTCCACTTTTAAGGATAGTGTGGATAAAGCAAGTTCTCTAGATACGCAATATAGGGCGAGAAGAACCTACATGGCAAGCAAACAAATATACTAGGTAAAAAAGGCATCAAGCTAGCTAGCAATCAATCAAATAAAGGTATAGAAAAATATTAACCACACAACTTGGAGAAGAAGATCTATCCAGAAGTTCACACTCTTGGGGGGTGTGTTAATCTTTGTTGGGGAGGTGCAAAAGACAAAACTTCCGAATGCCACCAAGTGACTCACCATTTTCTCCCTTTGAATCACCCATGACAGATGAGCCTCAAATCATTTTGTGGTTGGTCTTGAAGGCGACCACCAGACCTTTACAAACTTCTCAAAGCACGCCACGCACAAGGAAGCTTCCAGGCCTGACTCATACCGCCTAGGAGTCCAAAATCTCCGAGAATAACAAGTTTGGTGAAGAACAAGTATATGGATCACAATTTGGTTTGGTAGAAGTGTAGAGCAGTCGATTATCTTTCAATCCTCAAAGTTTGGCAGATTGAGTGGAGGAATCAAGAAGAATCGACCTATTACTATTTGACAGTGGTGGAGAAGCTCAAATGGAGGATTGAATCGACAAGAAGAATAAAAAAGAGGGTATAAATACCCCCTCACTATTATAGCCATTGCTGCCCAGCATACCCCCGAGGCTCGGGGTAACCCGAGAGCAAAATTGTGCCTTGGGAACCCGGGGGTCAAGGACTCCGGGGACCTAGCCCATCAAGAGACTCCTGGCCAGGGGCGATAGTTTCCCCTGAACCACGGGGACCCACCCTAGACCCTAGGGGCCCAAGGATCACATCAACAACATGTATTAGAGCGGGTCTTAACCCAGAATGTGTAGGAATGGTGATGGCCATCTATATAAGATATCATCATGATCTTCAGACTTACGCAATCACTTCATCCCGTTATAATAGTGCGGCTTTTCTACGGCTCACATAAAACAAACAAAAACTTCACGCCTTAAAAAATCGGGGCAATTTTTCTTTTTGAGAAACGGGAGTCAACCATCTCCATCATGAATTCACTGAGGGACCAATGTCTGAGATACACTTAAAAATAACATTAGTCCCACTAATCACACAACCATAAATACCAAAATACATTAGGGTCTAGATGCGCTTTCAATTTGCATCACAGAGTAAGTTGATGCTAGTATGCTTGAATGTATATTTGTTCTCTTTCCTACAAGGAAGTCATAGAGTAACTCTAGTAGGAGTCCACACATGATTAGGGTTTCTCGACCTGCCACTAGTGTCGTCACCGATCCGTCTCGTCTCTAGTGACCTTATGGCTATGGAGGCGTGGTGGGCCTTGGTCCTTGTTGGGAGGGTTCCTACTCCATTTTAAGCATTTTTAGACCGTTTAGGGTTTGTGTCCTACTTGACGCTCAAACAGATGTATCTAGCGCTAAAATACATCTAGATACATCCATTTTAGCATCAATTAATATGAGACGGAGGTAGTACTCATGAAGGCGTGGCGGTGACGACATCCTGAAGATGAAATAAGGTCCTCCATGCCTAACACCTGCGCCCGCGTGGTGCGTCTGGCGTATACCTGGCCATACCTCGGGCTGGGCCGGGCCTAGCCAAGCCCGACGCAAAAACCCAGGCCCAGGCCCGGCCCGGCCTGACCATCGGGCCTGTTTTCTAGGCCCGAGCCCGGCCCGAACATGTAAAAGCCCGTCGGGCTCCGGGCCGGCCCGGCACGACCTTCAGAAAACCACAAAAACTGTTGGAAATATGCCCTAGAGGCAATAATAAAAGTATTATTATTATATTTCCTTGTTCATGATAATTGTCTTTTATTCATGCTATAACTGTATTATCCGGAAATCGTAATACACGTGTGAATACATAGACCACAATATGTCCCTAGTGAGCCTCTAGTTGACTAGCTCGTTGTGATCAACAGATAGTCATGGTTTCCTGGCTATGGACATTGGATGTCATTGATAACGGGATCACATCATTAGGAGAATGATGTGATGGACAAGACCCAATCCTAAGACTAGCACAAAAGATCGTGTAGTTCATTTGCTAGAGCTTTGCCAATGTCAAGTATCTCTTCCTTCGACCATGAGAGCGTGTAACTCCTGGATACCGTAGGAGTGCTTTGGGTGTATCAAACGTCACAACGTAACTGGGTGACTATAAAGGTGCACTACAGGCATCTCCGAAAGTATCTATTGTTTTATGCGGATCGAGACTGGGATTTGTCACTCCGTGTAAACGGAGAGGTATCTCTGGGCCCACTCGGTAGGACATCATCATATGCGCAATGTGACCAAGGAGTTGATCACGGGATGATGTGTTACGGAACGAGTAAAGTGACTTGCCGGTAACGAGATTGAACAAGGTATTGGATACCGACGATCGAATCTCGGGCAAGTAACATACCGATAGACAAAGGGAATTGAATACGGGATTGATTAAGTCCTTGACATCGTGGTTCATCCGATGAGATCATCGTGGAACATGTGGGAGCCATCATGAGTATCCAGATCCTGCTGTTGGTTATTGACCGGAGAACGTCTCGGTCATGTCTACATATCTCCCGAACCCGTAGGGTCTACACACTTAAGGTTCGATGACGCTAGGGTTATAAAGGAAGTTTGTATGTGGTTACTGAATGTTGTTCGGAGTCCCAGATGAGATCCCGGACGTCGCGAGGAGTTCCGGAATGGTCCGGAGGTAAAGATTTATATATGGGAAGTCCTATTTTGGCCACCGGAAAATGTTCGGGATTTTTCGGTATTGTACCGGGAAGGTTCTAGAAGGTTCCGGAGTGGGGCCCACCTGCATGGGGGGACCCACATGGACGTGGGTAGTGGGGGCAAGGCCCCACACCCCTGGTCAAGGCGCACCAAGATCCCCCCTTAGAAGGAATAAGATCATATCCCGAAGGGATAAGATCAAGATCCCTAAAAAGGGGGGATAACAATCCGTGGGGAAGGAAATAATGAGATTTCTTTCCTCCCACCTTGG